ATATGCGCATTTAACGCGTTGTTGACATGTTAAAATTCATGTGTTTTTGGCCCTTTTGGCCTTCCATATGCTTGGCTCGGTCCCGTCGTACATACTTAGCGTGCGCTCTTGCAGTAAACCGCAGTACTCAAGAGGGCGATAGAGTTCCCTCGAGTTGTGCCGAACAGTGCGACAATGCTAAGAATGCGGCACATTATGAATTGCGGTCACGTGTTTTGTGTAGCTAGTTGACGCGGTTTGTTTCGGGCCTCGCTGTGTGCGCTGGCATGTCGGGGTTAGAGCCACACGTGTTTTTAATGTGTTTGATTTAACTTCTCTGTCCTGGACGAGATTGAATCGTAAAACATCTCAAGCAAAAAAGACGAGAAGTGGAAAAAAAGATGGCAGACTGATAATATGAGCTGGACGGATGGAGAAATGAAGGATTAGAGAGCGGTTTTACCCTCAGGGCTGCTGCTCGCACATGTGTGTGTTTAGACTCGCATTCTGCCAAACTGCAGTCTTGAAGCTCTTACGCTCTGAGACCTGGTTCTCAGAGAGACACTGAAACTGCGCAAATGATTCGACAAAACTACAGCATTCCTGTTCTAATCATCTTAGTGGTCTGTTTTGTTTTATTGTGTCGTTTTATTGCATCACTCACTTGCAGTGCATACGCTGTCTGTTCTACCGTTTCTGCAGTATGCCTACTGTGTACTCTGCGTGAAATACTGTTTCCCACAATGCACTGCACTTTCAGAATCGCAAAAAAAGTTTTTTTTTCGTGACGGAAAAAAGAATTTCAAGAATGTAAACTCAGTAATCAGAAAGAAGTCAGAATTGCGAGAAAAAAGTCAGAATTGCGAGAAAAAAGTCGGAATTGTAAGAAAAAAGTCAGAATTGCAAGATGTGAAGTCAGAATTGTAAGAAAAAAGTCAGAATTGCGAGATATAAAATTGGAATTGTAAGAAAAAAATCGGAATTGTAGGAAAAAAGTCAGAATTGCAAGATGTAAAATTGGAATAGTAAGAAAAGTCAGAATTGCAAGATGTAAAATTGGAATAGTAAGAAAAGTCAGAATTGCGAGATGTAAAATTGGAATTGTAAGAAAAAAGTCAGAATTGTGAGATGTAAAGTCAGAAATGCGAGATGTAAACTCATTTGTGAGAAAAAAGTCACGATTGCGAGATGTAAACTCAGAATTCAGGGAAAATAGAATTATGAGTTTCATGCAATTCTGTTTATATCTTACATTTCTGACATAATTCTTAGCAATTCTTAGTTTTGTTTTGTTGTTTTGTTTTACTATTTCTGCAGTACGCATACTGTGCACTCTGCGTGAAATACTGTTTCCCAAAATGCACTGCACTCAATTTGACGTTTTCAAGTTACAAATGCCCGTGCCTGCTATTATGTTAAAAATCAGGTGGATAACGAGGTCTACTGTGTTCATGTGTTGTTTCTAAAGCTTGTATGCAGTGTGTAGTTGTTTTGAGACGCAGCGGCTGGATCCGGTGAGGTTCCTGGTATTTCCCTCTCTAATGAAGACGAGGGGATGTTGTTTGGTGTTTTGCGGTTTTGTTTGACATTTGTAAGTTGTGTAATCGGCGCAGCAGCGGGACGCCGCGCTCAGCGACTCTGAATCCAATTAGAGGAGCGCAGAGAGAGTTTCTGGGTGCGGCTCTTCTGACAGGCTTTGTGTTCGGCCCGAGCTCTTCATCAAGCCTTTACTGTGGGGCTTTCATATTTACTACAGTACTGCATGATTAACATGTATGTGCTAAACAAATGCCTGGTAAAACACGGTAATACCATGCTACGGTCTCCAACAAAACATGGTATTTCCATCCCCAAACAGCTTATTACAGGTTAATGCTGTACTTTTATTCTATTTGAACTGAAATGCATGCATTTGTTATCCAGTAAATACTCTCCTCGTTGCTGCTGACGGACTTATTTACCTTTACTCTCGTTCATGAGGCGTGTGGCTGACATGTGCTGTTTACAGGTTTAGAGGTCAGAGGTCACTGTCAGAACCCAACCCCCCCCCCACCCCCCCAAACTGTCATGAGAGTTGTATCAGATAGTAAAATAACAATTGCAAAATGTTTGAATTAAATATTATATTAAATGTTTATGTATTATTAAATATTGTATAAATATGACAATAATGTATAACACTTTTTATAATCTAATAAATAATATAACATTTATTTATTTTTTTATTTTATAAAATATTTAATATTTTTCCTCTAAAATAAAACAGCAGATAGTGACAGTCTACTTTACACTGCTGCCACAGGTTGTTTTTCAGTCCGCGGGTTAAGCACATTAAAGCACATCGCTGAACTGTTAAAAATATTATTAAAATGTGTGTATGTGGGTTCTGGCATTGATTTTATTTGCTGTCTGATTTGAATAATGTTTAAAACTGCATCATTTTAGTCTAATTTACATACTATTGTAGTTTTTTTTATATTTTGAGCTTTTATTTTTACATTTTCTGGTTTAGTTTTGGTTTGAATAGTTTTAGTAATTTTGTTATGGCATAAAAGCATCCCATGATGCACCTCATGAATGTCCAGACTGATCAGAGCTGGAATCCAGACACAGAAGAAGCACAGATTTGAGAGGGTTTTCATTTGTGTCACATGTTTTCATCTCTACATCATTCCCAGACTTACATGTGTGTGATTTCAGGGTTTCATCGTGAGTCAGTGTGTGTGTTTATATGTTTATCTGTCTATCTGTCTCTCACAGGACCGGTAGAAGAGTCTCTTCATCATCATCATCATCATCATCGCTGCTGGTTTTCATCACTTCCATCTGCTGAATGAACGCCGTGAGTCTGACAGGCGAGCAGGCGTCGTGTTTGAGCGCATGATGAAGTGCTTACTGTGTGTGTGTGTTGTGTGCTAATGAGTGTGTGAGCCGGACTCCCGCTGCTCTGGAATAAGAGCCAGATTCAGCACCTGCAGGAGAAAGAGAGAGAGAGACAGCTGAAACCCTCCTGATGAAGAGATTACAGAAATCAAACGCTAGTCTGCCATATTAACTCTCCAACATGACCGCAAACACATGCCATACACACCGCTGCAGGCTCTGATAAGCTGCCCTGATTATGTTCACATGAGTGTGTGTGTGTGTGTGTGTGTCTTTATTGAGTGTGCGTGTTTATATATATATATATATATATAACAGCCCCCTGGTGCAGCAGAATGTCAGGAATGTTCTAGAATGCCAGTTGCAGTCGGAGCTCAGAACTTATTACTAACAGGTGAGAGAACATGAGTGTGTGCTGATGCCAGAGCCTCACCTGCAGAGAGACAGACAGGTGAACGTGTTGCTGCCTGTCTGACAGATTCTGCTGGAGCGCGTTAATCCCTCTCTC